GAGTATATTGCTAGATAAGTAAGGGAAGTTGACATTAAAAAAAGTTGAAGTCATCACGTTTATTTTAGAAACAGAGTCTACAGTCATAGTAGGAACATTATTACCCCAGATTTTAGCGCTATGCTACATTAATTTTATTTTTTAACATTTATCTACTGTCGACTTTCTTTTTATGTTCTGTGTCGCATAACTTTTTAAAAAAAATTTTGATTTTTTTTTTTTGCTCGAATCTGAGGCATCGGTTAAGCTTTTTTTGTACTAGAGCACTGTGAGTGCCAGGCCCGTAGAACGCGTGGAGGGGGGACTGGGTATAGCCTTTTGCTATAGTAAATTTTCATTTAGATGCTGCCCCTCCCTTCCTTGTTGCTGTAAGATCAGAAATGGCAAATTCCAGGATTGTGAAGAAAAAAAATACCAGAGAGTAAGAGAAAGGTCCAACCCCTTGCTCCCCCACTCTACGAAATAGGATTTTGGGGTCCGGACAATTTACGTGTTTTTCCCGCCCCCCCCCCCCCTTTTAAATACGTTGCTAAGGGGTGAGTGGGTCTTGGATCGGTGACTCAGAGACAAATCCACACGAACACAGTTATATATAACTAAAAATCAGTTCGTTCCATCAGTAATCCGTTCGAAAATTATTTGTCATTGTTGGTTGTGTATCGGTATTTAGTCAAAGCATAGCCTTAGGTCTATGGTCAAAGAGAAATGTCCATTAAAGAGATTTTTTTTCAAAATTACGAAAGTCGATCAAAATAAAGACTAATTAAGCAATGAATTTGAAACAAACAGTTTTTTTAGCATTCTATTTTTGGCAAAACCTTGACTTAAGAGCTTAAAAATTACTCATCTAAATTTCTCTGCAATTACACGGTAAAACAAACACGTTTGTTTAATCTTGGGTCATCTCTTTAATGGACTGAAATAAATATTCTCCCCCCCCCCCAGAAAGAAAGAAAAATAGAATTGAAATATTTAAATACAAAATTACAAGCGAATAGATATATAACTAAAACACAAAAGTGTCTCAAAAGAATATGATATGCTATTCACGTTCTGAATTTAAATATTTTTGTACTAGCAGTATCTCTTCCTGCGATTAACAGTACTAGGAATCCGCAGTGCATGGTTATTTCAAAGAAACCTTAAAGGCTAATGACAGAATAATGACCTGACAGACACATTTAGATGGATTTTTTTTATTCTTGGATTGTAAAATGAGCAGTTAGTGGATAATTGATATAAGAATTGCGCTCTTGTGACACTTCCCAATAAGTTAAGCCCAAAAGTCATGTTGATTGATGGCTGGTTGCGCAATTTACAGCTGAAATTGCAAATGAAACCTGCGAAAACTGACACAGGCAATAAAACAGCTTCGCTTATAAGAAACTATTATACCTCGAAATATTTTTTTCTTGAAAGTAAAAGGAAGATTTATTTACTATTTTTTTTCTGATCTACACATCTATAAGTATATACACGTCTTGATTTCGCTCATTTATTTGTGACGGTAACCAAATGCCCTTCGACTTCGGTTGAGCCAAGGAAGAATGTTGTTGTGAATTTCGTATTGTTGTAGTGTTGTACATTTTGAATTTACCTGGTGGCAGTAAAAACAAAATTTACAACGGTTGTCATGTTGTAAATTTTGTATTTACTGCCACCCGGTAAATTCAAAATTTACAACTTGACATTGTCATCAGAGCCAGTAAAAAGGTATATATATATAATGTAATTATGCTGCAATAGAAATGAACATCAACATGGCTAATATTGGGAGTGATACGTACATACATGTACATGTATTTTTCTCGTGATATTTATTAATTTTATGTTTTTCAAAAACAAGCTTCCGCTAAACAAAAAGGAGTTTTCCACATATTGTTTTTAAAATATGTTTTATTGTCGGTAAATTATTTCTTTAAGAACTAATATGCCATGCTTTTAACAAGGGGAAAAATACAGTCTCGATGTAGATCAGATAGAACACGAAGATAAGATCAAATTACACAAAAAATAATTTTATATTTTTAAAAATATTTATCTTTATTCTAATTTAAACAAACCATTTTAGTTATCATTGTATTAATAAAATTTTATTTACTGGGTATTTCTTTTTTTAAACTAGACTCTTCCTCAGAGCATTTTTCTACAAGTATTCCTCTTGATATACTAGAGTAGCATTAGTATAGGACAATATACATGTACATGTAATCTATGTACATTCTCTGGGGATTTGAAGTTGTACTGGGACTGTGAAAAAGAAGTGCTCTGTCAGGACGATGGCAGTTAAATGCCTTGGTGGAATGATATCTTTGAAATTCAATAAGATATCACAGTTCAAAAGATAAGAAGAAGTGTTTTCCGGGAAATGTGAAGTCCTGCCAGTTGTTTATATCCTTATCAATCACCACAAGGTTATATATACAATCAATGTTACAATGTACCTTCAAACAAAACGGGGAATGTAATAAAATATATCTGTCTTGTTTTTCATACATCAAAGTTACTTGTATATGTCTCCGTATTCTTAAACCATGAGAAAATAAATTAATTAACTCTAAAATTGCTTAATGGAACACACTGATCAATATTTTCAGAGTTTAAACGTAAGAAATTCTGAAGATTAAGACCTTAACTGCTTTCATGCAACTCCAAAAAACCCCTAATCAAAGGATTTTTAAAGTGTTGTCTCAATAATTAATGCGCCCTTTTTGATGAAATAATTAAAAGGAGAAATTGGTATTTGTACACTGATATTGATGTAGCTCTACAGTAACTGTATTGAATCAAGGGCGAAACTTTATCAGCCACGTCAGAAAAAGTTAACCTGTCTTGAACGCTGCTGCTATGCTATTTCGAACTTGAATATACCTTCTGTCTATGTCGGGTGTTGACCTTTGGCTAAGATTTGAAAATGTTCATCTAGGAAACTGTGACCAATTCTCTCATTCGATCGATACCGAGTTCGCTTAGTGAACATTTTAAATGTTCACGATCCGAAACTCTGAACAAGTTAATTGTAACTCTTAGAACATGGTAATTAGTCTCTCACGAATATTTTAAAGTGAAATTTGTGTAAATTTTGAACCACTTTTTAAAAAAAAAAAATTGATTTCTCAGCAAAACCAGTCAATATGTGTTTTTTTCTCAGCATATCTACTAATTCTTTATTTCAGGACATTCAAAAATATCTTACCATCATAAGACAGATTCAGATCTTTACATAACTACACCGAGAATAGATTCTGGGATTTTTTAGCTGGACTTCAGTAGCTCGCTGGTCTGAAAAAAATTGGGATGGACGACCAGAGATCCGATGTGTCAATATATTTTTGGGAGAGCTACAGTTCTGCGGCTAGGGTTTTTTTTCCTGTCATTATGACCTCTTATTATGAGTCACAGCGACCCGGGAATGCTTTGATATACATGTATATGATATATTAATTGTTTCCTGGGTGCTAATTTTTTTTTACGTTTTCATCAGGTCAAAAAGAATAACTAAATACAACCAGTATATACTACATAGACACTTACAGATGGTGTACGAGTAGATGAAAAGATAAACATCTGGGTTTACTTTTGATCAGTGAACATATCTCTGGTCAATATCACATGTTGGTTTCATAATATATCGTATGAAATTGACATAGTAGACATTTATTCAATATTTATTGAAAGTGTTGTTGCCAGAAAATTGAGCACAGGAATTTGCTAATTGAAACAATTCTCGTCAGCTTGCGTAAAGTTGTCAACATTGTTCAATATGCCTCTTTATTTAAAATTCTATATAATTGTTGCATGTTTTTGGCTAAGGATTTATTAAGACAACGTTGTACAGCACTGAGGATATTTCTGTTCTTGTATTTCCTTCAGTAATAGACACTATTGTCATGACTTCAAATGACCCCAAATTACGAGACAGAAACCTACATATCACTACTTAAAAATTGTTTACTATCTCTCTCGCTTCGTTCAAAAAAGTTTTATCTTTATATTTATCAGAATAACAAAAGAAGCTCCATTTAAATGTCATTCAGTGTCAGGAAGATTCTTTTTTCTTCGAACGTCTTTTTCAGTCAACGTCTACGTATAATAGCATTTACCGGTATTTGAAATGAACATAACAATAAATTTATTTTTATTTTTCTCTCTAAATTAAAGAAAGTCTGACATTTTTTGAAATGGGATGTCTCTATTTGAAACTATCTACTTGAAATATATATATATTCAAGTGTATACTTATATGTATATAAGATTTTTTCGTTTCCTTCACCTTTCACAGGTGTATACTGAGATTATACACGTCACAGATCTACAACACTCATTTTGCAATATACCTCAGAATATACGTCTGACCATAACAACCTGTGGTAATTACCAATACATTTGATTTCCCATGGTAGACCATTACTACTTGTAAAATCCAACCACATAACGAATAAGAACATCGACAGAATACCCAGTCGTACCGATTCAATTAGCATGTCAACAATTCTACTCGATTCCATTGTGTGGAAAAGGAGATGATGATCTAATTAAATCGAAATTTGGATTCAGAGTTTAATTGGCTTGTTTTCATTACCAGCTGATACTAATACCCTAAGATTAAATTCGTGTACAATGTTCTTATGTTTATTTATTATATATATATATATTGACCTCAAGTAAAATAACAGTAAAACTCAGAAATATCAGGCATAGTAGTCAATCAAGTTAACAAAATTGTGCGTGCACGTGTTTGAAGTAGCATTTATAATTTTTGAAAAATGAAAAAGCAACGAATTTGTTGTAGGTTTTCCCCCTTAGAGAACGTTCTGATAAAAATTATATGTCCTATACCTTAATTCCAAACATTTCCCAAATCGATAAATTGCATAATATTTTGATATATTTGGATTTATTGAAATGAGCTTCCAGGGGAAAAGAAATCTAAATCAATAAATCAAAGAAACAGTCAGGGCAAAAGTCTTTAAAAATCAGATTTTGTTTTAAAAAATTACCTTGTGAAAGTTTAGAGTTTCCATCGCTGTATCATTGGTTTTGTTTTGCATTACATCCATTGTAACATTGGTATCGGTCATTTTGCCCCCCTAGATAAAATCCCACTTTGTCTTCTATCTAAATAGACAACACAGAACAAAAAAGGTGCACGATCAGAGATCAGGTCGGAGGATTATATACTAGCAGAGCACAATCGATCCCGAGCCTTTTTTCTTCCTTCCTGCTCGCTGATCTCTTTATACAGAGGTTTTGGAAATCCTGAAAAAATAATCATTACAGAAAACTTAACTACGTGCTTGCACATTATTCAGTGCAAAACGCTCTTCTGAGTTAAGTCTGTTCATTTCTTGACTTTTGTGTAAGTTTCACAGTCCTGCTGATTTTTGGGTGGAAATAAAGCTTCCTAGAGAATTAATTTCCATGGGCACCTTAAATTTCATCTTGTCTTTATGTATTTGACCTGACCTGCACGCATTTCTTCAGTGAGCATCTTGACATGCAAACAGATACACTTGACTTTAGTCTAGATCTTTATAAGATATAAAATTCAGAAGTGTAGCAGTGGAGAACATTTTATGCAACACAAAATTTGAATGGGTTAAAGTTACGGTATTTTGTAATTACATGTATTTATTCAAAGAAAAAAAATATGTCACAAATGTTATAATGATTTTAAGGCATTGTTTTGGTGTTCGAAAATACATTATTTTAGATGTAATAAACAAATCTGTTGTCCAATACTTAAGCTACGATTAAATATTTCCATTCAAAATTCTGGGGCAAATTGAATGTTTTCTATTTATGTATATACTATATAGAATACCAGCAAATCTGTTTCTTATATCTCAATTCTTGAATTCATAAAAACGGAAAATATTTTTACTGGCAACTTTATTACACAATAAACGTCGAAACTGTGATATTAAATTTAGTGCTGCTTTGCAAATATGGCATTATACATTCTACGTATGCATTTTATTCTTTATACTGTCTACATCAGCTCAAAGACAGTAGTAAAGAACTTTATCAACGAATTAAAGAAGTCGTTGAAAAGAAAATGTTTCTATCACAATGAAAAAGTTTACTGTTTAACGATTCATGTTAAGCTATTATTCTGTTTCTAAAACAAGTTGTCATAACTGAAAAAAATATGAAATTGGTAGAGGCCTATCTCACGAATGTTTTGTTCATTGAATATGTTGATTACATGTAATTATATTGAAAGTTCGGTCCAAATATCCCAAACTGCTCATGTACACATTTTGAGAGTTTAACATTTATATTTTACCTTGGCGATACCGAATCTGAAACATTTGGATCACTTACCGTCTTTTGTAATAGCTTTCTTTTTTTACTGTATTAAATTTCAAGAATTGCAGGTGTAAATAACTGATATCCACTGCTTATATTTCAGAAGTATAAGTAATGGATTCACCATTTCGAAACAGAAATATTTTTTATTGTATCATTACAATAATGCTTAATTAAATCTGATGGACTGTGTACGTTATGTTCTTCGAATAGTACAGAAGATGAGTAGCACTTTTTGCTTCATTGTACCTCATGTTCAAATCTTAGAGCAATCGTTTTTACCAGTATTGGATTTAAACCAACTTCGACCATTACGTCAGATTCAGAGAAACCGCAAAATTCTTGTACTCGGCATATACTTACAGACAACCTATTATATATAGTAAACGCAATGCATAATACCACTGTATTTTTATTGAATTTGTATTGTTAAAAGTGATATATATAGGCCCGATCTGTCGGGTGTTTTCCTATTATATATATATCTTAATGTTATGATTATACATAATCCGTCACTATAATAATCCATTTACTTACTGTGTATGATGCTCAATAATTATCCATTTGTGGGTAAATAATTCCCACTGAAAACAACTGAACAATTTCAATGTAGCTGAAACCTTTAATACTCTAATAGTTTTATACTACTCATAAATTCTATATTTTGCCTCAGCTGCACTTCATAAATTAGTTGGGTAAGATCAAAAGCAGCTCTAATAACTAGGTATACACTTTGATTTTGACTATAATTAATTTATCTTTAAATATGATGAATTCTTAGCATGCAAATGAAGGTGTTGATTCCGTATTTTTACTTTGATTCGTTTGAAGGGGGGTTGGGGGGGGGGGGGTTGGAGATATTTTAATGTCTCATCGGGTGACACATTTGAGAGTTGCAAGATGGGGGTAAGTTTGTTTCTTTACTCTAGGAGAAAATTAACTACACTGTTACATATATATGAAGACTTATCATTTCATTATCAATAGAGGATTTCCAGAAACTCAAGAGAAGTTAAAACTAAAAAAGTCAAGGTAAAAGAAAAAGATAATATTGCTATTATATGTAGGAGAGTAGATAATGGGTTTTCTATGTGTGGAATAGAAGAATAGAAGATAATGTGTATTGTATGTGTGGGACAGCTAGTAGATAATGTGTATTGTATGTGTGGGACAGCTAGTAGATAATGTGTATTGTATGTGTGGGACAGCTAGTAGATAATGTGTATTGTATGTGTGGAATAGAAGATAATGTGTATTGTATGTGTGGGACAGCTAGTAGATAATGTGTATTGTATGTGTGGGACAGCTAGTAGATAATGTGTATTGTATGTGTGGAATAGAAGATAATGTGTATTGTATGTGTGGGACAGCTAGTAGATAATGTGTATTGTATGTGTGGGACAGCTAGTAGATAATGTGTATTGTATGTGTGGGACAGCTAGTAGATAATGTGTATTGTATGTGTGGAATAGAAGATAATGTGTATTGTATGTGTGGGACAGCTAGTAGATAATGTGTATTGTATGTGTGGGACAGCTAGTAGATAATGTGTATTGTATGTGTGGGACAGCTAGTAGATAATGTGTATTGTATGTGTGGAATAGAAGATAATGTGTATTGTATGTGTGGAATAGAAGATAATGTGTATTGTATGTGTGGGACAGCTAGTAGACAATGTTTATTGTATGTGTATTGTATGTGTGGGACAGCTAGTAGATAATGTATATTGTATTTGTGGGACAGCTAGTAGATAATATGTGTTTTATGTGTGGGACAGTTAGTTGAAAATGTGTATTGTATTTTTGGGACAACTAGTAGATAATGTGTATTGTAAGTGTGGGACAGTAAGTAGAAAATGTGTATTGTATGTGTGGGACAGCTAGTAGATAATGTGTATTGTAAGTGTGGAACAGTTAGTAGAAAATGTGTATTGTATTTGTGGGACAGCTTTTAGATATTGTGTATTGTATGTGTGGGACAGTTAGTAGAAAATGTGTATTGTATTTGTGGGACAGTTAGTAGATAATGTGTATTGTAAGTGTGGGACACTTAATAGAAAATGTGTATTGTATGTGTGGGACAGTTAGTAGATAATGTGCATTGTATTTGTAGGACAGCTAGTAGGTGTGTATTCTATGCATGGGATAAAAAAACGATAAGTATTATACGTCTTTTGTTGATTTCATGTATTACTTTTTTGTAAATATTGTATATATTACTATGGATTCTTCTAAATATTGTTTACAGTTTTCACAATCAAACTGTATATGGAAGTTTGTTATATATACATTATATATGGGATGAAAATCTTCCTCAAGCTTACAACAAAAAATTTTGTGGAAACTGACACAGATTTTACAGGAAACATGGATTTTTTCCAACTCTGTTCTAATTATTTCTTCAGAGGTCAAGCCGTAATAGTTGTAGAGTTTTTAAATAACGCGAACAAGTCTGAGATAAACTTTCCGGTTCAGATATTAATGCAATGAGATGCGATGAAAACTTATATTTGCACTGTACAAATAGTTACATTTAAACAAAAGCTTTGCAATGCGATAACATTTTCCGTATTTTTAGAAATCTGTGTCATTCATTAGCAAACATTTCAAACATGGCAATCAAACCTAATCCATTTCAGTAATCTTAAATTTCACAGTGTTAATTTCAAATTGAATTCAGAACATAAATTCACACTACGTTTTCTACTTGTAAATCCATTTGGAAAAAAAAGAATGAAATAAATCTAAAACACGAGAGCTTGCATCAGACTTTGCTTGACAGATAAGGAACTTTCAAGTTTTGGATAGGGTCTACCATTATTCAAACTGAACCAGAATTCACTTGAATATTATATGCTATTATTCAATAAACTACGAATGATCCTTTAGCGTAAATTTTAAGATTTCTTTCAAAAAGTATTAAGTTTAGCAAAGCAATGAATTTGGAAATATGTGTAGATTTAATGCTAGTATAAGATTTATGATAAAATAAAAACGACATTAAAAGACTTCCTATCTAGAGAGATAAAAACTATTTCTTAAGTTGAAAACAAAACACGTCATCTCATATTACATTGAAAATACCGGTATCGTGATATGGAATTGTTCGTATATGTTTTAGTACTAAGATATTCTTTTAAAGGGGCAATATTGGTTTTCTGTATTGATTCATCAGCAAAAATAAAAGCAGTATTTAATGGGAAATACCTGTAGCTAAATCTAATTACAAAAATTAAAGATCAAATCCAGAACAGTTCATCCCAACCACAATTGCACGAAGAAACATGTTTTATGTGCCATTTACATTTCCAACTAATTTCTTTATGATAACTCTTTGAAAGTTAAGCGTGTTGATTTCTCGATAATTACAAGTGATGTAATTTCGCCAAACGAAAGGTCAAGTGCGTAATGTCCTGACGTCTGTTTAACAGAGTGGACGTTCGCAAGCGCTCGCCAAAATTCTTTAACTCTCCAGAAATGTCATCGGTCATTTGCACAATTATTTTGTTAAAAAATATTCTGATTATACACACAAGTGAATGTTAAAAAAAACATTTTGATTGTACACACAAGTACTGTGAAGTTGATATTAAAAAGAGGCTGGAGTTTCTGATCGACAATATCTATGTGGTTTTTGGAGACCATGTCTTCCAATAATCTGTTGGAATTCCCATGGGCACTAATTGAGCCCCGTTATTAACCGACCTATTTCTGTATTCGTATGAAGCAGAAATTATTCAGAAACTTCTACATGAAAAGAAAATGTCTCTTGCTGTGGCCTCGCATTCAACATTCAGATATATCGACGATGTTTTATCAATTAACAATATTCATTTTCATTCCTACGTTGACTCAATATATTCCTTTAAACTCTAAATAGAAGACATCAAAGAGTCTGACACATCTTTTTCATATTAAGATATTTTACTAGAAAAAGACGTTAATGGTAA